GGTGCTGCTGGGTGGTGCTGGGTGGGGAGTGGGGCTCATGGTGGGTGGAGGGGGCAGGGGAGGGCACCGTGACTCCGTCCCCAGGAACCTGGGAGGGGAGGAGCTGGCCACTGCGTGCTGCTTCTCCTGTGTGCTTCTGGCACCGCGGTTTGGGGAGAAAGCAGGCATGAGTGGGTGTCTCTATCGAGGCACCAGCATCACACAGCATTTTAACAGATCAGTGCTGTCACGAGGGTCACGGGTCATCATGCCAGCAACAGGAAATTGCAGGTTCAGTGCCCCTTTCTTCAGGTTCCTTCACACTGGCGACCCGGGAAGGGCTTGTTCCCTGAGACTGTGTTTGCCCAGACCACGTGGCTGACGCCATCTGTCCTTGACCATGACCTTGAGTTTCAGTCCGACTCTGTCCGCCGTGACCTCTGACCGCCCTGTCTCCCTCGGGTTCCTGCAGGTTTGGATCGATGCTGCCATCCAGATATGCTTCTCACTGGGAGTTGGGCTTGGGGTCCTGATCGCCTTCTCCAGTTACAATAAGTTCACCAACAACTGCTACAGGTGAGTCCTGAGGTGCCGGAGGAGGGTCTGCAAAGTCAGGCGGGGGCATCGCTGATGTGGGGGCATGTCATTGACTTTTGGAAATGTTGTGTCCCTGGATGAAGGGAGAAGGGAATAATTTGTGCTTGCAAACCTCTAAGCCAAAATGGCTGTTTAAATGGAAATGAAACAGGGAAGCTACAGGCACAGTGTTTCCTGCTTCAAGGGAGGTTTTGAAGCAGGGAAGGTGTTGGCGCCTTCCTGGGAGGAAGTCTCACGGATCCCCCCACCCCCAGGCCCCTCCCTCTGCCTCCCTCCTCCATCCCCTGCCCGGCCCCAGCTCGTCCTCCCAGTACTCAGGGTCCACTCCTCTCCAGACGTCGCCCCCATGAGGAAGGGCCTGCATCAAGGGAGCCTGGGCCCTGGGGGACATCCCAGACCCTGTGCAGCGGCACCCCGGTGCCCCAGCACCAGGCAGGCAGGACAGCAGCAGCACCGAGCGCCCACACCCCAGACAGCGTCTCCGCTGGTGCCACAAGGCCCAGGATGTCCTCAGTGACCCGCAGCCACCTGCTGGACCTGAAATCCTTCTGAAAGCAGAACAAGAATTCCGTCTGGGGCCGCTTTCTTTGAACTTTCCGAGCCTCTGTTTATTTTCTTTCACATCATGAGGATAACAATTCAGTAAAAGTACAAGGGTGCCCTCCTTTGTACGTCCTTGCAGCCAGCACCCGGAGGGCTGACCCCACACCCGCCCCCTCCCTTGGTCTGGCCCTCTGAATCCCCAGCCCTTGGAGTGGGGTCCCCAGGCCAGCAGCATCAGACCCTGGGAGCATGTGGGAAATGCAGCATCTGGGGCTCCCCAGACCCACCCCGTCAGAGCCTGCATTTTAACTAGGTCCCCAGAAGTCACCTAGAAGCCCTGCCTGGCAGCCTCCGTGGAACAGGGGTGGGGACTCCCCCGCCAGTCAGCTGCTCTGCCCACCCAGAGCCCCAGCGTTGCTGGTGGGACAGTATCGCCATCAGCACTGAGTCGAGAGTCCCAAGATCCTCTTGGTCCCCAGGCAAACATGGACGGTTGGTCACCATAGGGCCTGGCTCGGCCGAAGTCTGGCCAGAGCCCAGAGCCCAGAGCTACTCGGTGGGGATCCCGTGGAAGGTCCCGTCACCCAGCGGGCGGCAGCCTCCTGCAGGGCGGCCCGGGACAGGTGCTGTGGCTGCAGGAGCGGCTGCGGCCCTCGTCTGGGGAAGCGCCTTCCCAGACACAGCAAATTACGAGTAATGACAGGAAATTGCAGCGGCGCCGGGGCCGGGTGCTGGGACAGCGTGTCTTGTTCTCACAGAGATGCGGTCATCACCACCTCCGTGAACTCCCTGACAAGCTTCTCCTCCGGCTTCGTGGTCTTCTCCTTCCTGGGCTACATGGCGCAGAAGCACAGCGTGCCCATCGGGGACGTGGCCAAGGACGGTGAGCCCCCGCCTGCCCTCGTGGCTCAGGCCGCCCAGTTCTCAAAAGGGGTTTCCCTGCAGAAGGACGGGGAAACGCAGAGGCCTGCAGAGCCCTTCCCAGGATTGCCGACTCCACTGAGGCTCTGGGGTGCGGCCGCCTCCCCCGCCCCCTCCCTGCCCCTGCCGCTAGGACCGCCGTGCTGGGGTGCCGCGGTCCGGGCACGTTGCCCCTTGGGGAGGCCACTCGGGCTGCAGGACGAGGATCTGGTTCCTGGTTCCCCTCACTCGGCAGTCTACAGCCTTTGTTCACAACGGGGAGGGACACGCAGCCGCACGGGGCTGCTCCAAGCAGCACAGACGGCCCGGCCACAGAGCCAGGATCCAGACCGCAATGTGGTCAGCCAGAAGGAACCTGGGCTGTTTTCGACACGAGCAGCTCAACTGTTCCAAAGCTTTTCCGCCAAACATCCAGCGGCCACGACACACTCAGGTGGAAGCAAGGAAACCCCTGGAGTCTTAAGGTGGCAACAGAGAGCCATGTTCCCAACCTGCTCACCCAGCCAACGTGGGCCTGGCGTGTCTGCAAACTGAAGTCAACGGAGGGGGCGCAGGCGGGCGGAGGGCGTGGGTGCAGGTGAGGCAGGGAGCAGGCCTGGTCCCAGGGAGACAGAGCTCGGGGCCCGGCACAGATGCGGTGCCGAGAGGCTCTGAGTGCTGGGGCCCCCCAGGCACCGGGGGAAGGTCTGCTGGTTCTAGAACCTGTGTGGAGAGTCACGGCTTGGGCAGCCTGAAGATGGGTCAGTCCAGGACTCCAGGGCCTCCGGGATCCCTGAGACCAGCCCCAGATCAGGGCTGGGCCCTTGCTTCCCCTGGGAGGCCCCTCTTCTCTGGGGGCCGGGGAGCTGCTGACTCCTGGGTCTTCTTGCTCTTGGGTGGGAGGGTGGCGTTCAGGGAGGGGTCGGCCCCACTGAGCCCTGAGCTCTCGGCCCTTCGGCCCATCATCCCACCCGCTTCTCGAGTTGCTGAGTGTTGGGAAACAGAGCTTTGGAGACAGGGAGGATGGACAGACGGGCCCCTCTGAAACTACGGCAAGAAAGTTGGGGGCTGGGATGAAGTCTCAGTATGTTTCCAGGTCCACACGCTTTCCTCTAGGAAAAGATTTCAATTAAGACAGGGGAGAGGGAGCATAACGCAAACAAACGCAGAGCAGAGAAATGCGCTGCCTTCGCATTTGTGCATTTTCACCCTTTTTTGCCCTTTATTATGGTAAATAGCCGTAGCTGGCAAGAACCTCCGTTAATCCCTGAGAGTAAGCTGAATGTCTTGGGTGCGTTTCCTTGACAAGCGAAGTAAGTGTCATTTATAGCCCTAATTCTCAGGGAAACGGTAAAATGTTACCTCGGGAACAGAAACGAAAGGCGAGGATGTTGCTACGTTCTACCGAGCTAGCGGGTGTCTTCCTGGCTTCCTGGTTCATGGCGTTCAGACTTCAGAGTGCTTCAAGCCAGCCACCCACTAGTCCCGTGTTGGAAGCCCTGCCCCTTCCGTGGGGCGTGCCTGGCCTGACACCAGGGCCTTGGGAGGTGGACCCTGGCTCTGGCCTTTGATTCTCGGGAAGGATCAGGAAGTGCCCCGTTGCTATGGGCTGGTGCCAGACACAGGCCCCCCAAGGCTGGGAGAACCGGGAAAGCTGTGCCCTACACCTCTGTTAGCTCAGGAGGCCGTGCCAGTGAGCTACGTGTGCACGTCTTTGAAAATTAACCAGGAAAGTGGCCAGCTAGCACTCTCCCGTGGGAATATTTTTGACTTTGGGATCGACGGCAGCCAAACTGCCTCGAGTCTGGGTTGAGTCCTGCACTGCTCCCGTCCCCCACCTCCGCCCAGACCCCACTTGCTGGGGCTAAGGGAGCCAGTGTGGCCCCGACGTGTGCCCTGACCCAGCACTCCCACAACCAGAGCGTCTCTGAGGCACCGTCGAGGGGTCTCGTGTGTGAGCAGAGATACACGCTCTGCAGGCAGCAGCCCGTGGGAAGCACTCACTAATTGCGGCAGCTCTGCGTTCATCACAGGGTTTCTAAAGATCATGTTAGAGTCAGACGTTGGTGCGGAAAGATATGGTGGCGGCTGCATGACTGACAGCAAGCCCGCGTGTGAGCATGTGCACGTGCATCCACGACGAGCATGGGGAGAACCAGCCAGCAGGCGCCCCCGGGGTTTTCAGGGGTGAAGGGCAGGCCCCCCGGAGGCCCCCCGCCCTCCTCCTCTCCCTGCGCCCCCACAGACCCGCATGGATGGGAAAGGCTTGGTGAAACAGTGGAGGCTGAACAAGGCCCTCCCTCCAGATGACCCCGTTTCCAGGGTCCTGACCCTGAGCCCACGGAGGGAGGGCTTTCCAGGGAGAGCAGGAGAGAAGGCGTTGGGAGGGGCTCCACGGTCCTGTTGCTGGGGCGCTGGGCGGCCTCGCTGGTGGGGGCTGACCTGCAGCCACAGCGCGGGGCGACCGGGGGTCTGCTTCCAGGGCCGGGGCTGATCTTCATCATCTACCCCGAGGCGCTGGCCACGCTCCCGCTGTCCTCCGTCTGGGCCGTGGTTTTCTTCATCATGCTGCTCACCTTGGGAATCGACAGTGCTGTGAGTGACCTCAGTGCTCCACGTGCCCTGGGGCCCCACCGGTGGCAGCGGCTCACCTCCGCCTCGCAGACCAGACCGGCCCCAGGCTCTCCCTGAGGGTCCCCCAAGTTCCTGTGCCCACACAGCCCCTGCATGGGAGGACGGAGGGGTCCCACAATTACGTGACCAGCTCACCCCTTCTTCTTTCCCTCGGGGGTGCCAGCCGCCCTCTCCCTGAGCCCTCTGAGGGTCCTAAACACACACACAACAGGGCAGGTCGGGCCAGCAGGCAGTGTAGGAAGATGAGGAAGTAGGATGGGGAGACCACGCAGAGCCCAGGCAGGCCCAGGAACTTGTGTTCCCTGCCCCTTTGCCACCAGGAGGAAGGGGTGCACATTCGGGGTGAGGGCGGGGGCAAAGCCCAGTCCAGTGAACATCCTGTGGTGGCCCTGAGTGTGCGTGGGCACTCAGGAGGCGGGCGGACGGGTCGGCTCTGGCCTCTGGACTTTCTCACGCTCCTCCTACTGGAGACCAACAGCCGAGAACTCGGGGTCCCCTGTTCACCCGAGCTTCCTGGGAAGTGCAGAGGACCACAAACCCTCCCCTTGTGAATGCTGGGTATACAGCTCCGCCTTCCGCCTCCATCTCCCAGCCAGCCTGGCCGCCCGCCCACTGGGCGGGCACGGCCTTTGAGCTGCACGTCTGGGGAGACAAATCCCATGAGCAGTTCTTCCTGGAGGAGGCGGTTCGACAGAGCAGGGCAGAGTCTCCCCTGCGGGCCAGGCCTCGTGGGGGACACCCCGTCACGACAGTCCCGAGAGTCAGGAAGGCTCTGCCAGTGAGGACATAGCCAGTGGCCCGGCCAGGTCCTCCCTGGGAGCAAAACTAAGCTGTTTGTGGGTCAGAGGTTTGCTTAGAGAAGCCCAGCAGAGCTGAGCCTTTGTGGCGGTGCAGTGGGTGGCATTACGTCAGCCAGGTAGCACTCCACCCCCAGGGCCTCCAGAGTGGCTGTGCAAATCACCACCAGGGGACAGAGAGTCCACCCCAGGTCCTCTCTCTCCAGTAGCCATGTCAGGAGAGGAGCCCTGGCCGAGGGTGTGTTCTGCACCCTGGCTGCTGCCTGCACAGCTCCCTGCTCGGTGCATGTCCGTTGAATTACACTCAAACGGGCCCAGGCATGGTGCCGAGGGCCCTGGCACAGCACAGCCCTGCTCTGTGCTGCCTGCAGATGGGCGGGATGGAATCGGTGATCACCGGGCTCATTGATGAGTTCCAGCTGCTGCATAGGCATCGCGAGCTCTTCACCCTCTTCGTGGTCCTGGCCACCTTCCTCCTCTCCCTCTTCTGTGTCACCAACGTACGTACCAGCACTCAGTCCACCGGCTGATGTCTGTTAGCACTCGGGGCCGGGCAGCGACCAGAGCGTTCCCGAGGGCTGCACCCCCCGAGCAACCCATGACTCGTGATGACTCACGGGCTGCGGTCACAGGCGGGGCCGCCTTGGGCACTGGCAGGTGGAGGTCGCCGAAGCCCCAGTTACTTCAGCACCTGGACAGCTCCCGGGAAGCGCCCTTGGCTGAGCTCCCGCTGGTTCGGCTTGTGGGGCTGGCGGGGGAGGGAGGCTTGTCTGGGGGTGCAGGGCCCGGGTGCCCCCCCACGGGGGCTCTGCTCTCTGGCATTTGCTTGCTTTCACTGCTAATTCTGCCCGGAGCACTGGGAAAGGGGAGGAGGGGGTTTTTACTTTTTGTGAAGGCAGGTCCCTGAGAAGCTGCTTGCGAATGAATCTTAGTGACTTGAATGACACTTCGTAGGGACTAAAGCAGAAGATATCTGTCAACAGAAGCTGCAGGCCAGGTTTATATCTGGGGAGAGTGCTTTAGTGGGCGAGGCGGGGGTGGAGGCACCCCCGTCGGCAGGCGCTCCCCTCCCTCCCAGGGCGGCATCTACGTCTTCACGCTGCTGGACCACTTCGCGGCTGGCACGTCCATCCTCTTCGGGGTGCTCGTCGAGGTCATCGGGGTGGCCTGGTTCTACGGTAAGGACAGACGGAGCCTCCCTGGGGGCCGGTGTGCTCCAACCGCTGAGACCCAGCTGCTGCCCCGGCAGTGCGACTGGCTGGCGGGCGTCCTTGGGCTTTGGGAGGCTGGTGTTTCATGGGAACAGTTTCAGTTTGGGAAGATGAGAGCGTTCTGGAGATGATGGTGGTGATGGATGCACAACCATGTGAGCGTGCTCTATGCCACAAACTGTGCACTAAAGTGGTCAACTCTATGTCATATATGTATTTAGCACGACTTTTGTAAGTGAAAAAATGATTGCAGAGGGGAGGCAGGGACGGCAGTGGGGCAAGGGGCAGATCACCTGAGGCGGGAGGAGGGCGGGGACCAGCAGGGAGCATTGCCGGGGCCCCACAGGTCTCCCTTAGGGGGTGCCGGTGATCCCAGTGTCACCAGGGGGACAAACATGGGGACTCCTGGTCAGCAAGACCCCTGGGGGGCCTGAGTGGGGCGGCCTGGGCACCTGAGGTCACGGGGACTGGCCCGGGGGTTAGCGAGGACGGCAGCGCCCGCATCCCAGGAATGCGCTGCGCTGACCGCCCTGCTCGGCTGCCTCCCCGCAGGCGTGTGGCAGTTCGGCGAGGACATCAGACAGATGACCGGGCAGCGGCCCAGCCTGTACTGGCGGCTGTGCTGGAAGTTCATCAGTCCCTGCTTCCTCTTGGTGAGGGCCCGCTCTGCCCAGTCCTCAGGCCACCCCAGAGCCAGCAGTGGCCACACCCAGGCTTGTCCTTGAGCGAAGCATAGCCTGAGGCTGGGGTGGGGCTCAGCGCTGCCTGGGGACCCGGGTCTCTGGACAGCAGTCGGCAGGTCACAGGACGCTGCAGGAGGGCAGGCTGGCCGCTAGAATCCTCTGGTCTCCTGAAGGTGTGGCTCCCTGCTGGACCCACTGAGAAACTTCACATGGGGTGCAGGGGGGTCTCCTACCCGATTAAAGCCGTGTGCATCCTGCTTGGAGGGAAGGCCAGAGATGAGCAAGGCCATCAGCTGACCTTTGCCTGAAGGACCACAATGGAATTTAGAGCTCGGGGGCGACAGGCACTCAGACCTCGAGGACAGGAGCCACTTGGACTGTCACAGCGCAGCCCTGGGGGCCTCCCCAGGCACAGGCACCAGCGCGTCCAGCACCTGCCTGGTTTCTGCCATCTGGGCAGGGGGTTTGCAAGCTCAGGCCCACGGCCAAGTCCACTGCTCACTTGTCACACTGGAGCATGGCTGTGCAGGGTCATTTACGACTGTCTGGCTGCACAGCCGGGTGGTTGTGACCCAGCCCGGATGGCTCACGAAGCCTGAACCATCTGCCCTGCCTGGTGGCCACAAACAGCTATTCAGGGGCTGTCCAGGTCTGAGAACAGCGCGTGGGCAGACGAGCACCTCCATGACCCTCCTCCCGCCCAGCCAGCCCAGCAGTGCTCAGGGTGTGCGTGGACTGGGCAGGCAGCTCGGGCAGCCCCCACCATGGCCAGTGGGGGTGCAGGTCCTGGCCAAGCGGCATTACCCCCGAGCTTCAGGACCTGCTCGTCACCCTGCCCACCTGGGAGCCTGGGCTCTGTTTCTCACTCGCTCATCCCAAGGGGTCACTCCAGGCCAGCGAGCGGTCCTGCTTTTCCTGGGGCGGCAATGTGGGAGGCTTGCAAAGGACAGTGGGAGAATGCCTGCCCCTAAGACCTAAGAGCTGGAGGTTCCGTGCGCCCCCCGGCCCGGTCCTGCCACAGCCTCCCGCTGCCCAGGTCCGTGTCTGCAGGGCCTGGGCGTGCAGGGGCACCCTCCACCAGAGAGGCCCACTCCTCCCCACCTCCCCTGGCCCCAGCCCGGAGTTGCCCCTGACCCCTGTCCCTTGGTTTCAGTTCGTGGTTGTGGTCAGCATCGCCACCTACAGGCCCCCACACTACGGCGCCTACGTCTTCCCCGAGTGGGCCAACGTGCTGGGCTGGGCCATCGCCGCGTCCTCCATGTGTATGGTCCCCGTCTACGCGGCCTACAAGCTCTGCAGCCTTCCCGGGTCCTTGCGGGAGGTGCGTATTTGGACGGGGCTCCCTTGCCCTGCCCTTCCACCCAGTTGTGAGGCCACCAGTGAGGTCCGGTGGGTGTCATCGTCCCAGGCTGGCTCCCGCCTGCTCACCTCTGACTGCAGGAGGGCTGGAGAGGATAGCGATCATGCCGGAGACACCGGCCATGGGAGGAAGGGGGCTGCGCCTGTGTGGGGTCTGCGTCTGTGTGTCTGCGTGTGTGGCCCTGTGTGTGCTTGTGTCCTCACAAGGGCACGTATGTGTGTGGACTTGCCTGTGTCTATGCCACATGTGTGCATATGTGCTCTACAGAGTGTGGTGCAGGTGAGAAGGGCAGAGGTCTGGAGGGGTGGAATCAGGGGGCCCCATGTTCTCTCCTGGGGCCGAGCAGGGCCAGCGGGACCCCCAGGCTGGAGCCGTCATGTAGACCCGGGGGTTGCTCTGGTCCTCGCAGTCAGGCACCTGCTGGGAGGGTTGAGCTGGTCGCAGGGGTCCCTCTGCTTCACATCTTGGCACTGAGATTCCTGGAAGTGACAGAGAACATGGGCCTCCTTGGAAGGACCACTCACAAACCTGCTCAGAGCTATGGCTGGGAGTTCTTGGAAGCTGCTCTGTACCCAAATTCTGCAGTCTCTCTTAGGAACAGTGGGCAGTGAAGACCTGTTGCTGGTCCAAGGACCCCCCCAGGGCCACGCAGCATCCCTAGGGTCTAATTGCCCAAGGTGGGTGTCCAGCTGGTCCCACAGCAGTCAGACGGACCAGAGGTGACAGGCATAGCACAGGGCAGGGTCACCAGGCCCTCAGGCTGCCCCCGCCTTCTTGGGGTCCCCGAAAAGCCAGATGGTGTTGTGTGATAGAGACCCCTCCCACAGCCCCCCTCGCTGGCAAGCAGGGACCAGCCCTGGAAAGAGCAGATGACAGGTCATCTCTGTGGGAGACCCCTCTGTGTCACCTGGGGAGGGAGGGCCTGACCCTCTGCCAGCCACACCCTGAACATAAGCCACATAGAGTCTCAGTGCTGAGACAGGTGAGGCTGCCACTGCCATGTGGGGCAGTCCCTGGGGCAGCGACACCCTGAGGGGAAGCCTGGCCTCAGGGCCAGAGAGCCAGCTGCTCAGAGACGGCCAAGCCTGAGCTGCTGACGTGGGCAGGAGGCAGAAGGAAAGCTTCCCTAGGGAAGGTGGCAGAGAGCGGGATCCTCGCCTGCCCACTGGGAGAGAGCGTGGTCCACCTTCACTCAGGCCCCGCAAGCTTCACAGGGGACCAAACCCGCTCCAGTAGCGGCTCCCTTCAGGCTGGGCTGGACTCTGCTCCGGGGTCTGGGGACACCCGAGCCGACAGCTCCACATCCGACTGCAGTCCACCTGGGCCCACTCACCCTGCTGGGCGGGGCAGGCTCCACAGCTGTTCCCTCCCTTCTAGAAACTGGCCTACGCCATCACGCCCGAGAAGGAGCGCCAGCGGGCGGACAGCGGGGAGGTGCGCCAGTTCACGGTGAGTGCCGCTCTCCCCATGCCGGTCGCAGGGGCGGCCTGGGTGGGTGCCCCCTCCTCCACCCCCCAGCGAGGGGCCTGGTCAGGGCACCAGTATCAGCTGTGGGTGCTGCATGGCTGAGTCCTTCCAGGACATGGACACGTTGACTCGAAACCATGTATGGGGCACGACTGTAGGCAGGGGTGGGGGAGGGGAGGCCTACTGGGACAGGAAACCTCCTCTTACGCAGACCGAAGGCGCAGGACACTCGGTCCCCACTGCACTTCCTGTCTTGTTAATTTCAGCTGTGTCCTGATTGCTCCCTTTTTTCATTAGGTCTACTCTGTTACACCTTTACTAACTTCTTAGTTTACACCTTAGATCGTCAATTTTCAACCTTTCTTCTTTTCTAAAGTAAGCATTCAAGGCTAAGAATTTCCCTCAACGTACCCTGTTGGCTGCATTCCACAACTTCTGACAGAGCGTTTTATCATTTAGTTTTCAATGCATCTGAATTTTCACTGTGACTTCTTCATCCCAAGAGTTGCTTAGAAGTCAGCTTTTGAATTCCCAAGTATATGGAGATGTTTGATCTTTCTGTTACTAATTTCTAAATTAATTGCATTGTGATCAGGTACCGTTTCACTCATTCTTTGAAGAACGTTGAGCTTCCTTTATGGCCAGTACCTAGTGGACTCTTGTGCGTGGTGCGTGCGCCTTTAGATGTGGTGCGTTCTTCAGCAGTTGATCTCCTTCTGTTCGTTGGGGTAGGCTTGTAGTCATGTTCAGACCTTCTACAATGTTGCTGATTCTGGCTCTGTCTGACCGTTATTAACTGGGAGATATTTAACGGGCTACCCCACCTTGAAAGTGTATTTGTCCAGTTTCCCCAGTTTTTGCTCTATTTTGAGCCTGTCTTCTGAGACAGAGACATGTTCAGAATCATCACATCTTCCTGGTGACTTCTCTCCCTTGTGATGGTCTTGCCCTGAAACCCTGTCTGTCTGAGATGACCACAGCTGCACTAGGTTTCTTCGGAGTTAACCTGAAATATCTTTTGTAACCCTTTAACTTCCAACTTTGCAGTCATCTTAAAACGCAGGTGTCTTTCGCAGACCTCGAGCACACTGGCATGCCTCCCTCTGGCAGGTGGGCAGGTTGATCCATTTACATGCTGTGACTACCAATACGCTGGGCTTGAGTCTGCTCTTTGTAAGTCTTGCATTTTTTAATGTTTATTCTTTGCTCTTTATTGCCTTTTATGATTGGTTTTTTCCTTATTCTACTCTTTCCTCTCTGTTACGAACTTACATACTTTATTCTATTAACTTCATAGTTGTTTTTGAAATTGTACCACGCGTATTTCAAGTATAAAGTTAAATATTTTCTGACCCCCATCCTGAATATTACAAGGACTTCAGTTTTCCTCCCACAGTTTTCAGCAAATATTCAGAAATATTTGGCTATTGTTTCTTCGATTTTTTTGCTCCGCCCCCTTCCACTTACACACGTATCTTCGGTCGCCTTATTCTCTCTGCTCTGTGGTTTTATTTTGCTTTCTGTTGCCCTTGTTTAGTTCACTAAGTGTTTTCCTCTGCAAAGCCCGACTCTTTGAAAGCCCGCCCAGCACAGCCGCCGTCTCCCACGCGGCGGTTCTCCTCCCTAGAGGCCCAGCTGGGCCCCTTTGTGTCCCTCGTGCCCCGCCTACCTCTTGGGACGCGGAGCGCAGCAGTGGCCACCGGAAGGCCCTTGTGCGCCGGCACCGGTGTCTGTGTCTGTGTCGTGTCCGTCCTGGCTCAGTTTCCTCACAAGGGCTGGATTCTGCTGCCGCTTTTTGTGTTCAGTCGTTTTTCATCGTGCGCCGCATGTTGTGAGTTTTACCTCGTTAGGTGCATTCCTTTCGAAGCTCTCGAGCTTTGTTCTGGGACGTTGTTAGGTTACCCGGAGACAGCTTGATCTTTGGGGGACTTGCTCTTTGAGACTTGCGAGGTGGGACCAGAGCAGCGTTTGGTGCGAGGCTAATGGTTCCCGCTGCTGGAGCGAGACCTTCCTGAACACCGTCCCCAGGACCCCAGCATCCATGTGATACTCTTGTTCACCTGCAGGGGGCACAGCTCCCGGCCTGTGCATTTCTGAGGTGTCCCCCAAATCCTGCCAGGAGGGTCTCCCTGGCTTTGGGGGCCCTGAAAATAGCTGATAGCTGACCCCCGGGGACCCTGCACACTCACTCTGAAACTCCAGCCTGTGGACTCAGCGGCCTTGGGCTCCCCGGCGCTCAGCCCATCCCATCAGCCTAGGGGGTCACTGGGCCCTGCCTAGGCTTCCCCTTCCCCGTGATGAACCTGGAAGGCCCCCGGAGGCCATGCTGGGGGCAGCGGGGTGGCTCGCCCGGCTCATCTCTCCGGGCTCTCCGTCCTTTGTAGTCTGACATCCTAGTCTGGGAAATCATTATCATATGCACTTTGTTCGTTTTACGCTGCTTCGGGGGATAGGGTCGCTCCATCTGGACCAGCAGCACCGTTGCATGTGGCTCTGGTCCCTTCCCTCCGAGGCTGCCCAGCACCCGTGTTACGTCGTTACTTAAGCTCCGTCTCGTATCCCCTGCCTTGTCCTGTTTCACCGCCAGCCCCATTCTGACTCCGTCTCTGGAGGCTGCCTCTGGCCTGCTGTTTCTGGTGAGCATCACTGTAAGCCGCTCATTTCACTTCTTAAATCGTTTCCTGCATAGCTGCCCCCAAACCTGACGGCTGGTGCATGGGGGTCTGGGCTGAGCTCTGGTGTGTGCTGGTTCACGCACAGTGGGCTGCTGTCCATGTGTGAGGTCTTCTGGTTGAGGGCCAGTTCAGCTGCGGGAATCCTGAGCGGCCTGTGAGTTCACTTCCTCCAGAGGACCACCTCTGGCTCGTCTGCGGCAGGACAGGGGCTCGGGCCTCAGCTGGGGCCCGAGTGCGGCTCCCCAGCCCCTGCATGGCTCTGGCGTCACCACGGAGCCACTGCTCTGGCCACAGGGCCGCTCTCGCTGCTCACGGTCAGGCCCCGCCCACTGGCTCCCTTCGCGACCACGCAGGTGTGTCCTGAGCAGGGCTGGCGGCGCCGCGCAGGCTTCTAGGGGTAGTAGAGAGCCTGTCGTGGGGCCAGCGGGAGACCTGGCACCTCCCCGTCCCCCGCGTGGCGTGTCAGAAACAAGCCTTCGTGCTCTCATTTGGAAACGTTTGCAAAACAGTTCTTGCCATTTTGTGCGATCGAATGGCTTATGCTCAAAAATAGGCTGAAGGAGCAGCTGCGTAATGACAGGCGGTGACATCTGTGGACAACTAAATAGCGGCCGCCATCCATCTCGTCTGCCCCGCGGGGCACACGCGGCCTCATCCACACTGCCTGGGGTCACACAGAGAAGATGGAGCGCAGGGCGCGGGTTTCACGGGACGATCAGAGGCCCCAGGAGAGTGGCTGCAGGGGGCCTGGGGCATCACAGGTCCTGTGAGCTGGCGGGGGTGCCCTGAGACCAGCCCAGGCTTGCCAGCACCCAGCGTCCACCCAGCAGCTGATGTCACGCCGATGTCTGGGGGTCGCAGAGGCTGCTGGCCTGTGCTCTGGCCCCTCTGTGCTCCCCGATGGCTCTGTGTGCAGCGATGACTTCCCTTCATAAGGTTAAAGCAGGCACCAGGTCTGTCGTGTACCGGGAGCAGCGCTGTGCCCCCCGCCCACTCCCACCATCCACTCTGCTGAGGGGTCCCCAGCGACAAGCCGGGCCCTCAGCCGAGGAGCCGCCCTTATCCAAGCAGCTCCTCCCTTCGCTTCTGAACCAACCCTCTTTTCTTTTCAGCTCCGCCACTGGCTCGTGGTGTAAGGGAGCAGAGAAGGGAGACCCCAGGCGCCGACCGCTGCAGGACAGACGAAAACGAAGAAGGAAAACCTGAGCTTAAGAGAAAGGAGGGCTGCTCCTCTCTGTAGCCTCTGCTCCACTGGACACGCGCGTCTCCACCCCTGACGTCCATGCCCTCTCGGCCGCGGGGAGGCGCCCCGCCCGTCCGCGCCGCTGTGTAACTCACGTAGCCTGTGCTGCTCCGCAGGTAGCAACGCCGGAGTCCTGTGCCGTGTGTGTAGAGCTGGCCCCTCCCCGCCACACCCACCCCAGCGCCCCCACAGCCCACACCTGCTGTCACCCGTGTGCTGAGAAGCACCATGACTGTAGATTACAGATTCTCTGCTGAGAATCCCAGCGCTCACAGTAGCTTCCTGGATCCTTTGTTTCACTCACATTAAAAAACCAAGTGTCTATTCTGCCTGATTGTGCAGAGGTGAGACGGAGGAGGCCGCACAGAAGATGACAGCGTGGGGCCGCGCATCCCCACGTCACCCGTCCGCTCAGCCCCCACGGGGGTGGGGGCCGGGTGTGCAGTGGGAGCGCTGTCTATTTCCTTGCAGCCGAGGGAACAGAGCTCCGCCAAGTCCGCGTGGGCTGCCGCCACCCCTGCCCGATGTGCGTCCCAGAGAGCTCTTGGCCACCTCACCGTGGACACCCTGCTCTGGAGAAAGCGAGCTCCCCGGGAACGGGAGACCGTCCCCCGCGTGGGCCCTGACCGTGCAGACCCTGTCCCGAGGCCACGGCCTGGACACCCCGACCTCGGGGGGAGACCCCGCCGGGATCTCTCCGGGCACCTGTCGCATCAGTAACAGCGCTTGTTCCCTTAGGGAACGGCTTTTGGCACCCTGCTTACCTGTGCATCAGAACCAGCACTCAGCATCCGGGCTGGTTTCTGAAATCTGCCTGCTCATGTCCTGCTGTTGACGAGGATTTGGACTGTTGACCAAGGACCGTTCCCGGCACGGCCCCCCGGGGGCTGGCCGTGTGCTCTGGGCCGGCTCCAGCCTGCGGAGCCTTCTCGGCCATCCCTGCGAGCGGACCTCAGCCCAGGCGCGGTGGAACCAGCCACTCGGGGGGAGCCAGCGTGTCAGCCGGAGCTTGCGTGCAGTTCTGGGGGGAACCGGGTCCCTCGTCCTGTCCAGGAGTGCCCCGTGCTCATGTAAAACCCTGTGTCGTCCATGTCCATCGGTCTCCACCGGGGCCTCCTGTGGTCGTCACCAACAATAAAGAAACCCGTGGGAAAATGGCCGTGGCTCCGTGGCCACGTTCTTGCTTAGCCCACCGTTTCGCCAGGGCCGGCTGCCTCGGGCCCCACTCCCCTCCCGCCGGAACTGCCTTCACGTGCTTCTTCTGAGCCGAAAGGGAGCACAGCTGGGGCCCCTGCAGGTCTGCTGGGCTTACCCGGAACCTGCCCAGGGCCCCGCTGGCTCAGTGCTGCCCCGTCCCGCCCCCCCACCCCATCCTGCCTCACATCCAGACTCCAGCCCTGCAGTGTGACCACCGCCACTGCCCAGCCCAAGTGCCTCTTCTGGGGACATGACACCAGAGTCCCGAGTGGCTCCCTGCCTTAGGTCCCTAAAGATCTCTTGCCCACTCTGTGGCTAAAGGGGTCCTTCTCTTCACCAGTCAGCTCTGGCCACAGCCCAGAGGAGGCCCCTGTGGTGGGTCACGGTGCCTGGAATAGACACTGACGCCCCTGCTGTGATCAGTGGTCAGGCAGCTGTGACCCGCCTGATAGGACACTGGTCTCTCTGCCAGGCCCCCGTCCTGCCCCAGCCAGGGATCCCGCGGGCACACCCATACCGGGCCCACATGATCTTTCTTTTCCCAAATCCCCCGAGCACATCCTCCTTTCCCAGGGACCACAGAGCCCACACCAGCTGCTCCTGGCGGCTCCTCCCCACCAGCCACATAGTGATGGGCCTCACCTGGACCATCCAGCACCTCCTGGTGCTGCTCTCCTGGGGTCCTGTCTGCCCCCGGATGTAGCTCTCCCATCTCCGGGACCTGTCTCCCGGGGTCTGCTTCTGGGTCAGCCTCCAGGTGTCACAGGTGAAGACGTCATAGCCAATCCTGGGCTGGGCACAAAACTCACCCCAAGGGGACAAAGGCCTGATCTCAGTGCCACCCAGTCCCCCCCCTACTGCTGAGGTCCACTGTGACTCACCGTTCTCAGCCTCTGTGGCGCGGGCAGGACCCCGGCCATTTCTGTCCCTGCGGTCCCCTCACCCCACAGCTTCCTGGAAGAAATTTGTGAGTCAAGCCCCAGCCCCAGAGGCTTCAGGGGCCTCTCCCCAGGCGAGCGGAGCTGTGAGGATAGAGGCTCGGAGTGGAAAAGACGTCCCAGAGCTCCCAGGGCTGTCCTTCCTCCATGTCCCCCGACCCACGGGGACACACGTGCCCACAGACACACCCCATGCGTGCTGCACTTGTCTTACACACCTCGAGACGTGCTGAACATGGCACCCATGCCCACGTACACATGCAGGACACACACATCACGCCCACGCACACGAGCCCCTGCACACACGCACACGCAAGCCCACATGGCCAGCTGCCCCTCACACGCGAGAGTGCACGTGCACACTCAGCTGCAGTGCCCAGGGCCTCTCTGGACAGTCTGGGGCCGCTCTGGGGAGCCAGGCTGCCCTGGGACAGCGGGGGGTTCTTGCCTCCACAGCCCCTGGGTCCTGACAGGGTCTCGCTGGTGTCCCATCCTCAAGTGTCTGAGCTGGGGTCCTGCCCGGGAGCTGAGCCACATCAGGAAGCGACAAAGGGCTTACAGCCTGCACATGTAAACAACTCCCACAAATCAATAAGACCAAGAAGAACTACGATTCTGAACCCAAGTCCAGTGTGTGGGGGGTTTCCCACCCCTCCGAGCAGCTCTCAGGCGCTAGCTGGGTGTCCGACAATTCAGTTCAGCTCTGATGCTGCCCACCTGGAGGTGGTGTCTGACCCCATGGGTTCAGGGCTCTGTCCCACACGACTGCCCCGCCTCAGATGCCAGTCACAGTCCAGGCTGTCACCTGTGTTTCCCGAGGGCTCGAGGTCAGGGGTGCCAACAACCACTCCTCAGGTTCGATGAACCCCCTGGCCCGGCTCCCGCGACTCAGGAACCCACTGTTCCCACCGCGGCACCAGGACACAGGGGTTTCTGCCTTCGTGGAGGCTGGGGCCCCAGGGGAGAGTTCTGGGTCCTCAACCCAGAAGCTCTCTGAACACCCTTCTGCAGGTTTTTATGGAGGCTTCATTACACAGACACGATTGATTAAATCATTGGCCACTGGGGAGTGGCTCAACCTCCAGCCCCTCTCCCCTCCTCGGAGGTGGGGACTGAAAGCTCCAACCCTCTAGTCTCTGGTCAGCTCCCGGCCTCCAGCTCCACCTTAGACGCTTCCAAGTCGCTTCATTCACGTCAAGCCCGCTGTGGGGGGAGGGCTTGGCATGGACAGTGAGACACCCCCTCGCTGTCCTTGGTTTGAAGCTGCGGACAAGAGACCAAATATCATCGAGAAAGACGATCCTGCAGCTGTTACTGCCCAGGAAGTTACGAGGGTTTTGTGAGCAGCCCTGAGCGGTGGGGGGGAGGCGGCGTGACTGCTCACAGCGTCAC